GTAACTTCCTTTACAAATTTGGAACGAAGGGAAATGCTGACGGGGAGTTTAACGAACCTCACTGCTTGTTCATGAACAAGGCAGGGCTCCTGATGGATTGTGATACTTTAAATCACAGGGTTCAGGTGTTTGAGCTGAGTGGGAAGTTTGTCACCAAGTTTGGAACAAAAGGAAGCGGGATGGGAGAGTTTGAAAAACCGGTCTCAGCAGCAGTTCTTAGTGATGGTAAAATAATTGTGACCGACTTCCTTAACCACCGCGTTCAACTTTTTGAATAAATATGACATCAATTCTTTATACTCAGGACATGCTCCGTACCTCAACAATGCTTTTTTGATTTAGAATTGGACGCACTGTAGTCATATAAAATATTTAATGTCCCTTCTTTTACACAGAGATATTTGATTCAATTTATTCCTCGATCACAAAGGTATTGTCTGGCTTAACGTAAGGCCAACTTTGATACTTCTACATGTCAAGTCAAGTCAGGTCAAACCTTTTTTTGGCAGAGTAGCAATATCCGCCATCGGCAGCTATTATAAGGGGCTTGTGACCATAAATTAAAAATACAAGCAATTGAAATTTTAGCTTTGATCTCCTTTACCCTTACCCAGTTTTGATTTATGCTATAATTTTAAGGGGATGTTTTCAATTAAGTGGTTAAGGATATATTGTCGGAATGTAATGTAACGAATATTGTAATCACTTATTAGTTACTTAGAATTACATCCATTTGCAGCTTCGATAAGCATTTAAAACTATTAGTCATCAACATATAACTTCTCCTATCATGAATTCGTTGAAAAACAAGCTGAAAACAGATGGTCTATTTTAGTACGCTTCCGCAGCAACCCTTTTTATTGTAAAATATGTTCAATTAAGATTTCCAACAAAAGCTTTTAAATGCACATGTTATGACCTTGTCTGGAGTTTCAGGAAATTATCTGTATCGTTATATCCGTCAATTTTAGCTTTCGATCGAATCCACTAACTAATTCTCAGTAACTGAATTACGAGAAGAATCTTAATTCTTTTAAAAAGTGTATCGAGTGGTTTAAAATTATTCGCTAATTTGTTAAAGTAGACCGAAATATTTACAAAACCGCTAACAAGAGCGCTGCGACACATACTAATCAAATCATTCTCTCTAGCAATCGGGCAGAGCTATCTCCACGACCTTTCACACACGGTTTTAAAAAAATTAAAACTACTATGAGGTGAAATTGCATGTCAAAAGCTCTTCGTTTTCTACAAATAACGGCCAAACCTCATGATTTTCCTTTTCTTACCGTATTTCTAACGGTAAAAACTTCATCCCAAAATATCTCGATAAAGCTCTTACAGATTTTGCTTAAACTTTGCAAACATCGAGAAGACCGTATTGGCGAAAAAAACTCCTGTGAACGATTTTGTTAGGTTCCCAGTGCCTAGATTTTTAAATTTTGCTGAACTAAAATAGGTAATGGCGTGATTTCGATGCTATGACAACTCCGATGTCATTGCAACCCTGATCATGACAAATTTTCATCTACTGTGGTGGCAATTTTTCCCAATGTTTGTTTATGGCGACGTAGCTTATGCTCAAACTTGGCATTGACCCTGAAAAACTGTATCGAGCCACCTTCATATGCCAGTACGGCCTATGTTGTTGCAATATAGCCCTGGTTTCTTTTCGACTCTTTTGTAAAAATTTGGGACACTTGCGAGAATTTTTTGGGCAAATGGTTTACCGCCCTCCCCCGCCCCCCTTCCGGCATAAAAATTTCCCGTACGTTTTTTGCGAGCACTTAACTGGCACACAAGCACAGACCTATGATTCAAAAGGGCTTCCTGTGTAAAGTGAACATCGTGATTCCAAGAGAGATGTGGTGAACAAGGTCTATCCAAGACGGACGCATAGGCGAACACGGGAGATACGTTTTGTTAGCGTAAATGAAAAAAACGGAGATGCAACATAGACTGAAGGGGAGACTAAGGGCAACTGATAGACCTTGTTCACCGTCTGGAAACGTTCGGAATATCGTTTTCATTTTCTTCCTTCTTCCGTCGTTGTAATAATGTTCCATTGCAAAACCAAAGAGAAAAGCAAGTACGGAGGTAAAAGGTTTGAGTCAATAACAAGTCCGTTCTCCAATCACGTGTGACGTCTACGCTGGTGTAACAGTGCTTCTGCTTCGTCATTGTAAATTACGTCAAAGAATACAGTAATATATTCTCAGCCGAAATACCTGCACACAAAGCCAAATGAGGCTAAACTCGTAAGATACAGAAGACTCTACCCGAGGCTTTGCGAGTCGGTTGACCAGGAGAGAACACGAGTAATACCCCATTGCTGCAGGGAGGAGGGTGGGATGAGAGCTGCTATCGATGGTGCCGAGACCTAAGCTTTGCTAGAACCGGCTGAATAATCAAACACTAGGCTGCTCTTAAAACTGAGGGACAAGGTCTGTGGATATGCCATGTATTCCCCCGGGTCAGGTTGAGAACGTGAGGAAGTGTTTTGATGCTCTAATTTAGGTTTTTGTGCGTGTTTTCCCAGTGAGAATAGTTGTTCAAAGTTATTCTACCCCCCTTCCTTTTGTTGCTCATACAACTCTACATTCCGGCCTAAACAAAATTATAAGTTGAAACAGTTAACGACAATAGAGGATCCATTTGCACACTAGCACACGCAACAGCATTGCTCCCCTCACTTCCTCTCATTCGCATTTGATCATATATTATTTTATTTTAATTTGCGCAATATAAATAAGTATTATTTCACGCATTTCTTTTGGCATAACCCTCTTTCAAGTAACAAAAAGGAGAAAACCTCAGCACGCCTCTCGATAATTCAGAAGTATAAGTTTTGTTGACTGTGACTCAAACTTGCGAGGACAAAAAAAAGCCGATTCCTCTGTCTACCCCTCCTAAACATGGCGCGTCTTCTGCTAACGTCCAGTACAGCACGTTTACTGAGCGAAAGACTCTGGGGCGAGGCTGGAGCCGAATGAAGATCAATCTTCTGTCTAGGTTTTCCACTGTTGGGTGGTACGGACTAAATTCAGTAAAACATGACTGACATATTGATTTCAACATGACAATTTATTTAAAACATTAACCTTCTTAATATATAGTTTACGGCGAACAACACAGCTGCCTCAGTAACAGTTTGTTTTAAATTCAGAAACAAATCTATTAAATATCATCAAAGGTAATTGGAACCAGAATACAAAAAATTCAAAACGTAATGTCTTTTAGAAAAATTGAAGAATTTGCTAGTTACATAATGCAACAGTTAATTTTTAGCGCTAATACAACAAATAACACCTAATAAAGCAATACAGTGGAACCTCAATATAAAGAACATCTACGGAATGAAGTCCTCGCTATAACGAACGACATTCTTCACCCTATTGATAGGAAAATATGTGGAGAAGAACCTCGATATAAAGAATCCTCGTTATGGCGAACACATTTTGCCAGTCTGTTGGTCCTTCGTTATATCAAGGTTGCACTGTACTTGATAGAGGGATATAAAAATATATGTTATAGAATATCGCTACGGTCGGGAAAAGAGCGGCATTTTCCCCTGGATCTGGAACCAGGAAATTCCCATTTTTATTAAGCAATTAACTACATGCGATATTCAGTGTATAGTTTTAGCCGGACTACATTCCGGTACTTACGATTATTATATTTCCTTTCATTAATTTACCCTTAAGTTATTTTTTAAATTTTCCTTTAAATACTCGGAAAATGTGCAGTGCAGCCGAACGTTAAACGCAAGGAACAATTATTTGGGTGGTAACACATCAAATGTATTGTATTAAATTTTTTTTCTTTAGTTTTTTCTCTTCTGTTTCTCACAAACAAATTGGAACAATATTTTGACATTTTTTTAAAATAATATTTATTGAATGACTGTGCAATTAAAATTTTTGTGCAAACTTTCCATGCAATTGAAATTCTTTTAACAATTTTTTGAATTTATTCGTGCTATTTGACTTAATAGCTTGGCTTATAAGTCAAATTGACTGACAAACCTTAAGAAACCAAAGTGGCCTAAGGCAGGCCAATTGCAAGCATGACCGAGTAGGAGAAGTAAATACTCGGAAAATTTTCAGTGCAGCCGAACATTAAACGCAAGGAACAATTATTTGGGTGGTAACACATCAAATATGTTGTATTGAATTTTTTTCTTTTGTTTTTTCTCTTTACCAATACAAACAAATTGGAACAATATTTTGACATTTTTTTTAAATAATATTTATTGAATGACTGTGCGATTGAAATTTTTGCGCAAATTTTCTGTGCAATTAAAATTCTTTTAACAATTATTTGAATTTATTCGTGCTATTAATATAAAAATTCATTTGACTTAATAGGTTGGCTTATAGGTTAAATTGACTGAAAAACGCTTAAGAAACCAAAGTGGTCTAAGGGAGGCCAATTGCAAGCATGACCGAGAAGGAGAAGTAAAAAAGTTCAACAGTGAGATAAGAACAACTACCCTAATACCCAATATGCAAGAATCTAAGGAATTCCTACGGCCAAATCACCAGCAGTGGAAGCCATTACAAGCTTTTTTGTCCTTGTTGGAATTCATCAGCATGAAACAGCCCCAGGAGAAAGGGTTTTACGTAGGAACACAGACCCCACTTTATAATTACGAGGTGAACTCCGTTCTGCACCTGTAGCCGACCCCCCCGCCCCCACCTTCCCCCTTGTTGAAACTCATTACCAAGGTACAGCCCCAAGGGTCTTACATACCATCATCTATTCATCTGTGTACTTACCAAGTGAATTGGAGTCTACCGTATACCGAAAAACCAACCCTGATACAGTTCGTTCAACTGTGGTTGTTGCCCCCGGAATATTCGATTATATGATTGGAACCTAAAGTACTCGACTAAGCTGTCTACTGTCATTTTGAGTTTTAACTCAAGGTGGGGTTGTTCTTTGATTGCCAAGCTTTTCAATTGAGCTTATCAGACTCTGTCTTCATCTTTAGCATCGTTAGAGACTTAAGCGTACAAGGCCGAATACGTGTGTTCAGATTGCTCCGCCACGTTATACTCATGTGGGTCAGCGAGCTGTAATTAAATCAATAGATGTCATTTTAGTTGTTAGTATCAGACTTTTGTCATTACTGCAAAGTGCATAATGATATTCATTCAAACTATTTCTCCGTTTATGAGTGGCTTAAAATCACCTTAATAACCACCTAGCATTGACTAAATTTGGAAGATGTTGCCGATATCAATACGACTGCCGTCAATCATATTGATAAGGGATGCACAAGCATGCGGCGAGGTGGCTCAGCTGTCACAGCTGTGCAGAGCAAGAGAAAATGGCCAAAGATTTCGCATGTTATGCGAAAACGAATTAGCCGAACTACTGACTCAAAATTATTGCAAGAATAGACAAAAATATCACTGACGGTAGACATCTGCAGTAAGACGAATATCCGCCAAAATAAAGATCCCTTCATATCCTGAAACTGCCGAGAACTAGGAAATTTTTTGTTGAACGGACCTTTGCATCGAGGTAGCATTTTCCGAGCTTTTTTGTGAGATTTTGAATGAGTAATAAAACAATTATTGCATCCGGCTTTTGTACATCCCGGTAGTTTCAAGAATAATGCAGGTGTTGGAAGGAATAATTTAGTCCTTGGGAGATAACAGTCTCCTTGACCTACATAATTCTTCACATCATACTCAGCCTCATCCAAATAGCCTGTGTGCAGATCCCCCAAGTGTGTGTGTACACAGGCTATTTGAAATGACATTTTTTAATGATGTCGAACCAACAATAATTTCTAAACACCATAAACAACCCAAACCTACTCTTGACTTTACTGTCTCTGGCTTACCAAGATCGGCACTTACAAAAGTAAAATATGGGTACGAGTCTTATAAGTCGGACAAAGGACAGTTATGCTCCTAGCTCTTTGTAATTAGGAAATATTGATTGGATGTAGCTCGTGCACAGACCACCCCTCCCCCCTACATTTCAAAGAACTAATTCTTTAGTCATAAGACAACATCAAAGTTTTTAAATTTGATTTTTAGTGAGGGTTACTACAAAAGCAACTTTTTTATGGTTTTAGGGATTAAAAACAAAAGGAAAAGTCACGATCGTGTACGTCAAGATTTTAAAAAAATGTATGGAATTCTGAGAAACACAATAAAAATTAGTAATGCAAAGTCTGTACTTACGTCATCTAGCTGAACCAAATCACTCAAGGGTGGTCGGGAGGCATTTTCCCTTCGATTTTTTCTGAAGAAGAAGAAGGTTAAATAAAGTTCAGTATACATGTATGACAGCATCACTTTCACATACCTCTGTGTATCAAATGTTTGAAGCGTTGTTTCACATCTTAACCCACAATTACGCCATTTTGGAGTTCCAATACCTCTCACTTTTAAAACGAGGCTAAGTGTGAAACCCGTCTTGAGAAAATGATTTTTATTTGCACTAAAATTAAAAATCATTATCCATGGCTATGCAATTAGCCTCGCTTTGAAACATAGGCTTTAGGCAATTCAACTAGTATTTTTTTGGGGGGGAGGTCATCCAATATATTTAAGGCTACATGGGTGTGGAGGGAGGCAGGCAAAAAAGCAAAGCAAACTTCTAAAGAAGAGAGGGCCACGTAATGGCTCGCAGATGCTGCAGGGGAAGGGATGAGGGAAATGTATCAAACAGTGATATTCTTTGTAATTTTTTACCTGAAATTAAAGAAAATGTAAAGAACAATCCCGGCTGCTACTAAACCAACAATCACAGCAACTACAATCGAAGCTATTTGTGCAGAAGTGAATCCTTCCTGTTTGCTTGCCTGGAATGAGTTACCTAGAAAAGGAAGGGGAAAAAATTATGATTCCGAAGCCCTTCTGGATCGAGTAAAAGTTTGGAAACTAAGAACCAGGGCCACTTTAGTGAGAGGCGAGTGCTCTCACCAATGCACCATCCCTGCTCCTCAACCCGGTCTTAAAGCCCCTATATCCACTGACAAATTCTCCACACTGATATATCAATACATCTCCAAAAAGAACAAGACGCTGTGAGAGCGTATATTTGGGCGTCGATAAACTACGCATGTGTGAAGTTTTTTTTTTCACGTGTGAATAATGTAGTAGCGTTGTTTATTTTACGGGTTGGTTGAGATGCTTATCACAACCACCACTTGACTTCAACACCCTGTAACTATCCCTTCATACCCAAATTAGCACTTCCACGACTTCCTCACTGCAACACCTAAAATCACTTTTACCTCCCAAAATAATTATTTTTTGTTACTTCATATTAAATTCTACGAGAAACAAGTTTCACTGATTGACAAACTACAGCCATTATCTTACCAATTCACATCCAATATGACTCGACGCCTTCCACTTCACGCATCTCAACCAAACCCTAAAATATACAACGCTACTGCACTACCCACACATCCCTAATACACATAAAAAAAATTCACACACGCCTAGTACATCGACGCTCCCATAGCGTCTTGTTGTAACTTAATCCAGGGAATATATTACATCTCTTATGACTCAAGGCTTGGTTAGCAATGGTGGTATCGACCGTTGATAGTGGCAGCGACCGTTTTCTAAAGGAAAATAGTCAGCGGCGCCTTCATAAGTTGAAACATGACACACAGTCAAAATTTCAACTTGGAAATACAAATGCCATTGACATGCACTATTTTAGGCAAGATTGGACGACTGATACTGAAATGCTCACATTACATTTTATTTTACTTTGATGCGGTTTGAGGAAACAGAAACAAATGACAAGGAAAAAAATGACGCCTGCAGTCTAAATCCACTTACCTTGCAATGGCTTGATGACGTAGCGATTTCCTATAACACTGCACTTGCCTTCTTCGTTACATGATCGTATAAAAACACTGTAACTGTCTGCAGAATTGAGTTTCTGCAGTACAGTTCTGTTTGATGTATGGCTTATATTATATGTACGCTTCCTGTTGGAAAAATAAGTGTACAGGACATATTGTCCTGGAGTGCCTTTCCAAGAAGACTGTTTTGCCGGCTGCAAGAGAGGTTAACAGAGAGGAAAATTACTAAGACTTAAGTTTTTAAAAACTTAACTAAGGGGGGGTGGGGGTGGTGTCACGGGTTACAGAGGAAAGCAAAGTTGTGATTGTGACGGTAAGTTTTTTGAGTGCAATGTTACGTGCACCATGTTTACGGAAAGTATGCTTCGGAGAACTCTTCAATAGTTTGTCGCGTGCTGCTTTAGATATTTTTTTAATAGATATCCTTTATCTTTGAAAGCCACGACGTGTGGTAGTTGAGTTCCCATGCGTGGTTGCTTCTTGGTTCAGACAGAACTTTGATCAGATCGAAAGCATTTTTTATTTGTTCTTATATTTCTTTAAATACATGTTCTTTTCAAGGTTTTAATTTCCATAGTTTTTTGTGAGATGAGTCGAAGCGTCATAGCTGAAATGTCATCTTGATTATGATCAATGTACTGCTGTAAATATTTATTTCACACTGGGTCTGGCCCAGGTTTATAATATTTCAGATCATTGTGTTGTGGCGATACTAGAATTATTAACGAGCGATTGTCAGAGATTTCGGAATCAGTCAAGGATGTACCTGTTTAATTGATTCACCACCTATTGCCAGCGCTGGTTAAATTGAAATAAATAAGTCTGAGCGCGATGTCATTAAGCTATGTTACTTTCCTTTTGCTCTAGCGATTATTATTCTGTCCAGGTTTTGTTTATGTCAGTACTACCGTATCTTATAAAGTGAAACCAAAGGCCCACATCACATACATAGCTTAAGAAGCAGTTGCTTCATAAAGAAGTCAGCATTCAACGTCGCAGGAAACCTTGTTATGGCCGTGAAATTCACGTTCCAAAGCGCATTTGGTAACTCTCGCCGAAATCCAAGACACTTCAGCGCGCGAGGTCGCGAGGAGTCACTCGAACTGTATTCTTTCCTTTGATCTGATAGGCCAACATCAAAACAAAAGCTTTTACGTCACGGAAATCGTTTTGCCGCTCGGGTTCGCAGACGCTATTTTTCGGAGGGAGAGAAGCGACGACCGCAAGTGCGTCTGCTGTTCGCAGGCTAATTGAGTACGTGCAACATAAATACATATTTTCAAACAATACTACGGTGTGCGTCAGTATTTCATTGTATACATAATAATAATAATAATAATAATAATAATAATAATAATAATAATAATAATAATAATAATAATAATAATAACAGATAATAACTTTATTTATAGATTTAAAAAAAATAGACTATTTACAGATTCAAGAATATGAAATATTAGAATATATACCCTATGTACATTTTTCTTGTCTACGAAAGAGAATTGTTGTAAAATGACTATCTAAAGACTACTAATAACAATTATAAAAAGCATCAAAAAGTTGATAAAAAAAAAAAAAAAAACTATTTAAAAATAATAATTCAAACTGATAAAAAGTTACTACTTAAATTCTGGCTTGCGCACTTTCCGATGTAATGTCAATGTCAGATATATTGGCTGCTCTTCTCTTGCTCCTGGTTCCTCTGAGACACAGCAAGGCTGATCGTAAGATGGCAAAGGATACTTTCGCCCTTATCCAAGATATGGTTGTAGCGTAGTCATCTCCTTTCTTTAACGCAAGTATAATATAATAGTATATAATAATAATAATAATAATAATAATAGTAATAATAATAATAATGATAAAATTAATCAAAAAACATGCTTTATTAAACTCTTCTCAAATTGAAAATTAAATACCAATTTAGTAAAACTATAGTTAAAAATGACTTCTTGGTGGTCTGGTGGTTTCAACAGAGCAAATGTATTTCATATATCATTAACACTCATTTCTTTCACGGGAACATATGAACCCACAATTGACCTGCTCCCAACGTCAGTGGCTTCATAGCTCAGTTGGTATAGCATCACACCGGTAATCGCGAGGTCACGGGTTCAAACCCCGTTGAAGCCCTGCATTTTTTTCAGGCTTCTTTACGCAATTGCATAAATTGCGTTCACTGCGACGATCATTTCTTCACTTTCATGTAAACAACTGTCTATAAACTAAAAAATGAAAATTTCTATGTACATCCCAATAATAAAGTATCGATAGCTGTTGAGTCAAGGGAAGTCCTGCTTGACCCGTCTCTATTTCTAGATCCCTGTCCTTAACATCTAAGTTCCTCCTTCTGGGGGTTCTCGATCCCTTTAGGCATAGGAGCGCACTCCGCGAAATTGCAAAGGAAACTTTCGCCCTGACCCATGAAATTGTTGTGGCGTAGCTCTCTTGCTTTTTTGCAGATAATAGGTCGGCTAATCTTGAGTGGTATCTCAGGCATTCGTCAGCCATCCCTCCCGTCGTTGTGAATACCAGTGGGGTGAACGTGCCTTGCTCTATTTCTGTGACGCGAGAGTTGTATAATAATAATAATAATAATAATAATAATATATTTTTTTAAAAAACTATTTACAATTCGCTTGAAAAAAATAAAAAACTGTTCATTCAAAACACTATTTACAATTCCTGTACTTAATTTAGCTTAGAAAGAGTTAATTTAACTAAGAAAAATTTATTCGAATTAAAAACATTTCGTTTCAATACAAAAAAAAACTGTCAGCGTCTAAAATTCAAAAGTTTCTTTCAACTGTTTAAAAAAAAAAAAAAAAAAAATAATAATAATAATCTTTATACAGGGAGCTCACTTCACGAAGAGTGATATTCAGTGAGGCCGCTTTGTTTCTGAACGAAAGAGACAAGTTGTAAGTGAACAGACACGATTTCTTGGTACCGCATTTTTGTGCGGTGAAGTTAGAGAATATTTTCTCAGGAGTAAATTTTTGCGGGAAAAATTTTAGCCGTAAGTTTTATTTGCGGGAACTTATTTTTGCGGATCGCTGGAAAAATCGCAAAAATTAGAACCTGCAAAAATTTCGTGCCACACGGTAGACAAAAAACGTGTTTATAATGCTGTTTACATCTTTCCCACTTCTCGCCTACCTATCAATTCCCATAATTCTCTCCGTGCCACTGAAAACACTATCAATACATTTGAAATCAGCGCGCGCGGTAGAAGTTGTTTTCCCGGCGTGGTCGGTTAATTTTCTAGATTTCTTTCTGGCCGCCTGCAGCAAAGTTTTCCGGAAGGCATCATTACGCTTATGAAGGAACAAGTCCCACGATTGGCAAAGTCTGCCGTCGTCCAATATGGTACCGTATTTCGTCTCATTTTGGCTAAACGGGTGAAACACTGATCTCGGGCTGGAGACGGAAACGCATCATATTGTTAGCTTCGTTGTGGGCGGTGACGAGTCTCTGGCCTCAAAAAGTAAGTTGTAGCAGTCGAATCTATTCGGCGAGAGCAAACTTGAAGCTGATTTCTGACCAGGCCGGCCTCTAAGTGTCCCTTTCCGGGATCTTGAGTAAATCGACTGTGTCAGGAAAGTTTACACGTGATGATTTATGTGAAGAAAGCGCGGGTAATTGAGCGAGAGTAAGTTAATGATATTTCGATCGTATAAGTGTGGAAACATTGTGCCTGGTTGGTTGTGGCGAACGTGGTTAATTGTGTGATTTCCTGAAGTTGTTGACAGACAGAATTCAGGTATGTCGTGGTGGTCGTGTTGTAAGAATATTGTGTTCAAGCATGAAAACGCTTCGTGAGTGTTTGAAGTGATTTTGTCTTAGACAACCGATTCTGGGCTTAAGAAAGGTAAATTCTAGCCCTGTTTTAGTCGGGCATCTCGCTATGAGCCTCATAGTTTGAGAGACTGAAAGGTTATAATTTCTGTGCTTTTAAATGTTGTTCATTTCGTGACAACTCTGTCGCTTTTGCTAAGAGCGGCTTTTCGTGTGTTTCTAGCGATAAATTTGTCCTTTTTATGCCATAACTAGCGACTTTCAACTGCATTTTATTCACCTCAAGGGTCAAAGATCCCCTTGGGAAAATAGCTGCACGCATTTTGGGCATCCTACTGATGAACAGTTGGGACACGTAGATATATTTTTTTTAGCAACTACTACAATTTGCAGTCTGTCTACTTTGAATTGATTTGAATTGGGTTGGATTCGCTCTGGGTTTTGATCACTTTCATGTCTGCGGTTACACGGCTTTAGGCCTTTCCCGATTGCGCTCGTAAAATCCTAAAAAAGTGCTGGCAAAAATGGCTAAAAAGTGCTCAAAAAGTGCTCAAAATCTCAAAATAGTGCTCAAAAAGTGCTAAAAGTTGTGAACAGTTACCTCTAAGCTTTTCGTAAATATGTCAATTTTTACTGAAGTAATTAACAATCTATTTTGCGTAGTGCTATTTGACAAGCCGGTTACGAATTGTAAATAAATTCAGCAGTACTAGCATCAGATGATTTAGAAATTTGAGATGACACACGCATGATACATCAGCCAATCAGAAACTTCTGTTCTCACGCTCAGTGAGGATAAGTCCACGTGCCTTTCCATGACAGTCTTTTATTCTTGACAACATCATTAGTTATTCAAATTTATGACCTGGAGGACGATTCTCGTTGCGAGCGACACACAGTTTTTGCTTTAAAATGTTTTAGAAGACAAATGTTGCTCGAAATTTGCTCGAAATGTGAAATATTGCTCAAATGCTGCCCAAAGTGCGAAAAAGTGCTTAAGGGTGCTCAAAATGCGAAATAGTGCTCCAGACTCAAAAAAGTGCTCAAAAGGTGCTCAGCGCAATCGGGAAAGGCCTACACGGCTTTGCCCATGGGCGGGAAAAATTGAGCCCGGTTTCGTCGAAAACATTGAAGGCTGACATAAATCGTAAACGTTTTCGACAATTTTTACCCTTTTAATAAAACCTAAAAACCTTAACAAGAAGGATTCAGCCCTTAACTTTGAGGCTAAAAACGAAGAGGTCGACTTCTTTCGCGCTAAAAATAGAAGACTAACACTGAACGAACCGACGGAGTATGTCTAAATGTCGCGGGTCGCGACTCGCGGGTAGCGGTCGCGGGTGCGGGTGCGGGTAAAGGTCGCGGGTAAAGGTCGCGGGTAAACATAAATCACCAAATTTAATATTAAATTATCAATAAAATAAAGGAAAATTTGATTATGTTTCAAAGAAGATTTGCAATACTTTTTTTTTTTGGTCCACTGGTCCTAACGAGGAAGTCTAGTTATTTAAAGCTAACTAAGGACGATACAAAGGAAAAAGTCACTAAAGAAAAATCCACATGCTTAAAACTACATTGGCTAGTTAAATTTGCACCATGTAACCGAGATACCTGCGTTTGGGATTTGTAAGGGAGGAGGTTCAAGTTTTGATAGAAAAAAGAAAAGTATTTCGGGTTCACGTTCTCTCCAAAGCTTGAATTTAACTTGAAGTAGTCATTTTATGTAGCTGTTTTGCAGACTGCATGACTTTGTCAAAAGTCAATAGTTGGCCCTTTGCTGACCTCTATATTACCTATATGTAGCAGCGAAGTGAATTGAAAAGGGTATGTAAAAATTCAGTGCCCGCTTTAAACAGCCGAAACCCCATCGGACTGAAAAACTTACTTTAATTAATACTTCTTTTTTCTTTTCTAATACTTCTTTTTTTTCATTTTTCTGCAACCGGAGACAACTAAAATTATTGTAGGGGTATAAATGCGTAATCTGCCAGTTGGTTTTTGATAATTACCATGTTGCGAGTGGTCAGCCTTAAATAATGTTCCCTCCATACCTAGAACATTTCTCTCTTCATTTTCGAGTAATGGAAAAATCAAAATTTCGTCAAGAATCCTCCCCCCCGGCCAAGACCAGAAAATGGCAAGTGAAACCAGGGTTTAGCGCTGTGATAGGTTAGACATGAAAGAGTTAGAAATAGCTGTTACATTTAAGAAGACGATATAATACTTGAATTAGAACGTTTTTTGTTTTTCAACAACGAGCCCTTGAAAATTAAACAAAAAGAAATGATTAAGTCCTCCAGCAAGATCTTACAAAGGTGGCTACTTCTTTGACAAAAACAATCTCCCCTCCTCTTGAACCACATTCTTGACCACCCCCTATGTTTTCTCTCCCCTTCTTGACCCCTTCTTTATTCAGTGTAAGCGTCCGCAGTGTCAGCTTATATGACATGTCCACTTAAAAGAAGTGGTTTTCTATGTATATATATGAAGACATAATTTGGTTCATCGAAAATACAGCTTTGATTTTTTTATGAGACTTGCGTGTACTTACTTCCTCAGCAAAAAGTATGAATCGATAGTTGTCATTCGTCGTTAGTGCTAAATTTTGGCGCGGTTGTAAGAACTTGCCGTCCTGGTAAATCGAATTTTTCCCACGTTACTGGCTGCTTGATCACGGCAACAATACCAGTGCACTTGGGTAAAACTCTCATTCATAGTTCTGATTTCACAGAGTGACAAAAAGAAAGAATATTTCAAGTTTTACTTCGATCGATCGATTCTTTATACTGATGGAGTCGATAGTTCCGTTGCATTTTGGGGGCCATACGATTAGCGCTGATCGCATGGGCCCCCAAATACGACAACACGCAATAACATATGTATTAAGGTGTTTCCTATAACGTCCGTTTACAGCATAGTTAAGTTATTATTCACTTCTATCGGAATTTTTACTTACGCAGAAAACGTGTTTTATACGCAGTTCTTTATTAGTTGTATTCATTACCTGAAGAAGTCTCAGTAAGAGACGAAACGTGTCGGAAATAAACGAAAAAGCTTACAACTACAAGAAGTCTTCCTTTGCGCTGCTGACTAGTCTTCGTTAAAAAAGTTGTTTATTTTATCTTTTGGTTAAATTTGGTGATTTATTTTTACCCGCGACACTTACCCGCACCCGGGACATTTAGACATACTCGAACCGACGTACGAAGATACGTTAAAGAAACGAAAAAAAAAAAAAAACCGTTTGCACTTTTGTCTCTTTGCAAGAATGCTAAATTGCACGCCACGATGTTCTGTTTTTGGTCAAGAAACGTTTCCATTTGCTGTTTTAATTGTTATAAATTTGATATCACCTGTCGTTTAGAGCTCCTTCTGTATCTAGCTACTAAGCTGAAGACCCGTTATTTTATCTGCGACACTACACTACGAAGTACTAAACAACCTACCGTCCATTCCACCGTCACATTTCGCAGGGATTTATCGTCTGGGAAAGGCATAGAATCAGCACGTTGAACCACCGGTGGATCGGTCGGATCTAGAAATTAAAAAAAGAATTCAGACCACACTGAAGAATCAATAATCATATTGCAAGAGGCACAAATACCGTGTGGAACGAAATTTTTGCGGGTTCTAATTCTTGCGATTTTTCTGGCGATCCGCAAAAATAAGTTCCCGCAAATAAAAATTACCGCAAACATTTTTTCCGCAAAAATTTTCTTCAGAGTAAATATTCCTTTAGCTTAAATTCGCTACACAAAAATACAAAGCTAAGAAATCGTATCTGTTCAATCACAACTTCTCTCTTTCATTAAGAAACAAAACGGTATTCAACGAAATAACCGTTTATTGTTTGAAACTATTTCTATTGCACATACTCAATAAAAACGAATTATCAATGTATTAGCAATGCGTGTACCTTAGTGCCAACCGTTTTTCGATGGCATAGGAAAAGGGAATTCAAGTGCCATTTCCGTTTTTCGTTTTCGCATGACATTGAAAAACAGAATTGAATTTTGCTTTTTGTTTTTCGTTTTCGACTAACTTAGAAAAACGGTTTTGAACTTCGTATTTCGTTTTCGCATCTCTTTGAAAAACGGAAATGAATTTCAGTTTTCGTTTTTCGTTTTCGCATCACTTTGAAAAACGGATATGAAGTTCGTTTTTCCTTTTTCGTTTTCGCATTACTTTGAAAATCGGATTTGAATTTGGTTTCTCGTTTTCTTATCACTTTGAAAAACAGATCTGAATTTAGTTTGTCATTTTTGCACAATCATTTGAAGCCCCGGCCACCCCGCGCATTCACCCCCTCGGAAAGTGTCTTTCTTGTCGTCATTTGCAGGATACAACAAATTACTACATCATAAGTTATAAAACAATTGGGCCACTTGAACGGGGAAAAATAAGACGCGTCTAGTTAACTTCTCCTATAAGTGGCACAAAAAATGTGTTCGAGACTTAAATAAAGCGGGACTCAGCTAAGACACTCCTTATATGCTCGTATAAATGGTTCTCTTGCCATGATTTAGCAAATGACATATACTCACAAACTGCCAAAACTGTGTTCAGCCACCTTATTATCCGTTTTTCAAAGTGAAGCGAAAACGAAAAACGAAAAATGAAATTCATGTCCGTTTTTCAAAGTGATGCGAAAACGCAAAACAAAAAGCAAAATTCAAATCTGTTTTTCAATGTCATGCGAAAACGAAAAATGTAAATGGCATTTGAATTCCATTTTCCCATGCCATCGAAAAACGGTTGGCACTAAGGTACACGCATTATTAGCAATGCTGTGTACTGGGTACTTTCTGAAAACCGCAAAAATTAATTCCCAGCAAGAAAAACCAATCTGTCCTAATCACAACAATTAGTTCCCACAAAACACAAAAAAACGCCAATCCGCAAAAATTTCGTGCCACACGGTATAACCCAAGTCTATTTTCCAAAACGAGTGTAAGTGCAAAGTATTTGTTACGAAGATAAAGTTTCATTCTCATGCAAATAAAACTCACTTTTTCAAGAAAGCAACTATTATACAATTATACAGTATTTATAAAATTTCACGATTTTAATTTTCCCACGTGCATGTTTAGCCTGTGCCACGCACTCGATCAGAGTGCAGAAAAGCTAAAATAGCGAGCGAGCAGTGAAATAGCGAACGAGCGAAAAACGGCGGACAGTGACAGCCTGTAAGCATCTTTTTAAATACCTTCATCCGCCCACTTCCAAAAAACCGTTTCTCGTGTCAAAATTTCGAAACGTCCAAAGGTGCGGTGCAGGAGTATTTCACTTGCTCGCCTTTTTTGAAGGAAGTGTTAAAGTAAACTGTCACAATTGACCTATCATAGAACATACCAGAAGGGGTATACCGGAATGAGGCATTGGAATCAATGCCTACAGGCTCCACTACTTCTTCTCTCTCCAGCTCACACGCTGTGTTCGTGCAACGTTTCTCGATCTGCTTTCGATACTAGACTATTACAGAGCTTTAGATTCTGAGACGAGGACAACTACTTTCTCAATAATAAGTAGTGCTAGCGCATGAGAAAACGTCATTTTGGCGGGAAAACCTGATAGCGGTCGTCATTCCACTATGAGTTTTTACGAGAATGTCGTAGTGGTGGAAACAAGTTGTGGAATAGGCCATTTGCACTAAGAGGTCATGTGACATCATTTTAATGAAAATGAAAGTTACATGATTTTGCCTTCGAAAAACCATTAGTGGGTCATATCTTTCAAACCCGCACCATTGTCTTAAAATGAGTAAGTTCGTAGGTGGTCACGTGACTAAAATGGGATTTTTAAAATTATGAATTACCTCTTTTTGAACAGAAGTCTTGCACTTAAATTTCAAGGAAATTGTTGAAAAGATGATGTGGTAACGTTTTCAGCACATCGGAGCGTAACTATCAAACGTTTAACAAGATACAAGCAAAAAGTAGTTTTGGCCGCGGAGGGTGGAATGTGCAGGTTACAGGTTACATCTTGACCACCGGAAATTTCCACATCTGTTTTTTTTACCATTCGCTGTTATTTTTAAAAGTGTGAAGCTGAGAAATTTTGATCCACAGGGCTTCGGATGCAAATTCTAACTCCCAAAAAACAATTTCTTGGGACTAGAGATATTTGACCGTTCGTGCGTACTCCAAATTCTGACCTGCAACCTGCAACCTGCAACCTGCGACCTGCAACCTGAAACCTGCAAATTACACGCTCCGTTTTGGCCGCCATGTTGGAGGGCAAGAGTATGCCCTCCAACATGGCGGCCAATACAAATCATACTACTTTGTTCAAATCTAAAGCTCTCTAGTCTTGGAGCCTGGAACAGGCTACCTCGTGTTAAACTTTGCGACGTTTTTGAAATCGCGAAGTAGTGAAGATCAGTACTAGCGATGACTAGCGAGAGAATAAGGTAAAACGGGAAAGTAACTACAGTAGATATACAGTAACATATGCATGTGTATTATATTGTTAATTGAATAGTTACTTATTAAAGTTTAACCTCCTGGTAATGTCCGGACACATTTTGGTCCAAATGCATCACTTGGAGCACTGAGCTTTCCATAAGGACCCACTGTTTGCAGCACAACATAGAAGCAATACTTAGTATATGCCTCCAGCTTTGTCAGTGTTAATTTGTTTCTGTTTCTTACTTCCTTGGTCTGCAAGCAACAATAACAAATAATATTAATACAGAATGTAGCAAAAATCATAAATTGCTTCCATCAAGGCACATAACCTCCCCCAGTAATAGGCGCATCAAGTTGTGAACAAAATTAAAAATAAGATTATAAGTCCCACTGGATATAGGCACCCTCTATCTCTAATTACAGTCCCCCCTCTCTAAATTCGAATTATTATGACGTTTTAAGACAGAAGCCACCAGAAAATTGAGTAATTGTAATTCTCAGCGGACAATATTTTAAAAGGAATACAGATTTGCACCATCACGCAACTAGGAGAAGCAACGACCTGCACCCACCAAAGCCTAAACGTAACATGCGCAAAAGAAGAACTTCTAAGTATACAGGGACTATTAATTTCAATTGTCTACTCATAAATACCGTGATAAAGTATTTTACCTTATAACTTTAATTTCTTATCTCTTAGCACCCGCTTTTTATATTGAATTACTTACATTTGTATTGTATTATTGTTGATTTATATTCACTTAATTGTGCTTACGGGCATCCAAGGAACTTTTAAATTGTATACCCCCAGTACATAATTTTCTCAGGGCCCCTATGTATGCCAGCCTTGTTGCTGAATGGGTTACCCTGGCTAAATAAAGTTACTTACTTACACGTCGTTTAAACACATACTGGTAGCTAAAATAAAGTTTGCCATGAACGGTCAAATGAAATATATTATTACAGTACTCAAACTAAGTCCCATTTCCCTTGGATTTAACCCCACTTCTTTTCAATCATCTCCGGGCCTTTCATTTGAGGCTAAGTGCAAAACCTTTCTTGTGAAAATGAGTTTTATTTGGATGAGAATAAAAAAAAATCATTTTAAATTAATTTTTGAAACAAAGGGTTTGAGTAAACTCAGAAATGGCCTATTTTATTAATCATTAAAACAATAAACACAGGAAATAGAAGAAAATAACATAGAATGTTATACAAACCTTGTTCGGCTTATGTTCTGCATGGTATTTTACTATGACAACCGTATCATAAAGAGAATAGAAACCAAGGCCCCATTGTACCCTCACACCTCCAGTATTTTTAGGCAGAACAGAGAATTGTGTCGGTGGTAGAGGAGTAGCTGAAAGGAAGCAACATGACAGGAATCAACACTTATTGAATATAACTCCTGGAAGCAAAAATCACCAGGACTCAGGTATTAAAATATTCACCAAACGGTAGGTCCAGAAAAACACATTGCCCAGAGGGGGATATACATTTGTAATGCGGCCTGTGAAGGCCTTATTACACATGTACATGGGCAAGGGTCCGCTCAAAACATGGCAGTACCTTCTTCAGGCTCCACATTATAAAAGGGAAGAGAGTTCAAAAGTTGAAGAACATTAATGTTAGCATGAACATGTGCATTGTACATAAAAGGGTAGCATTTTTCCATGGAGGTTTTATGAGAGGGTTACCCTTTCTGTTCAGAATTGTATACAAAAAGGTAAGGGATTGGACTGCAGGGCACAGCCTCCTCTTCCAAAATGAAATAATGTTGAGAAGCAAGCAATTGTCTCAAGCATAGATAAAAAATATGGATAGTATTCAGCTCTTCAGATTACATGTAGCTCCATATCACAATTTAACTTCATATTTGCAAGCATGCAGAACTATTGTTTTCAGGCAAGGGTCCACTGTTACTGGTTCTTTAGGTTGTTTGTTTACTGTTGCCTTAGCCAATCATGTGAGCCCTTGTAAGAGCTGTGAGCTGGCCAAAAAAATCACGATTCTTCAGTCAATCATCTTCAGTTGTGTATGAGCCACAGCTCTAAAATTCGTTTAACCAGTCCGGAATATCCCTAAATTTAAGGACAGGGCCAACTGGTCATGCAACACTTTTCAACCAATGAGAAGGCGCGCTTGTGTTTATCAACAAACAAATCAAAACATGATCAAACATCGCTGCTGTGATCAAATATTTTCAAAACAGCGGACGGAGTCGGACAAAATCAGTCATCGTTTCGAGGCTCTCAGGCATATTTTTAAGACTTTTCATGAGGCATACACAATTTTTTTAAGTGGACAGCGTATCGGAAGCCATATTGGAAGTGTCTCGTGAAATATTCAGCACATTTTGTGGCTTATTTCTTCTTTTAAACAACGCGATGTATGGGCGAGATTTTGGTCGGTTTTCAAGGTAGGTGGACAAGTCTCTATTATTTTTTCGATTCACAGATTTTTTTTTACGAAGTTCTAGATATTTGTCCTTGATTGTCATATCGATTAACTTTTATCATGTTGAATGTGGGGATGGTAGACAACCTAGAATTTTGGTAGACCAGTTTTGAATTCCGAGGTCCAAATCATGTACGTTTTCCATTCCCGGGTTTCTCACAGAGCCGTGTTATTACTTTTTTTCGCATTAGTACGAGCCTTTGCCTTTTTTCTTTTCAGGGCCAAAACAACTTTATTAGTCTTATGGATATTCACGTCCAACATCTCGCCTCACTTTGCCGAAATTGAAGATCATAAGCGCAAGGTAGATACTAACGGCTTTGTTTCTGAAATTCTAAATGTTGCTGGATTCTCCAAATGTTCATCCACCGTTAAAAAACAATCAAAGAAAGAAGGCAAATTTCAAGTGTAAATGATGTATTTCGCTAGTCATTGAACATGCACTGAATCTGGGATCAAATTAAAACATTGCAGGTACTACAGCAAGCAAGGAAAGCACCAGATGCGTGAAGTCAACACGAAACAACACCAAAAAACAAACAACAAAAATTAATAAATTTGAACTACTTTTTATTCTTGTTATGACGACTGGTTCTTTGACTCTTGTCCTGTAGAAGCTAATAGGTAGTACCGATCCTGTTTTGTATGATCTCAACAAATTTTCACACTCTCTATAAGGCTATTTTTACACGGGACCATTTTGTTTCTATAAAAAATCTTGCAAGCCATGCTAGTGAAGCCACGACCGGAAACAGTTCGAACACCCCAATGATTCCTTGCAATGAATAATGTTCTGATTCTCTTACATGAAATGTTTTCTTTGAAATATTAAATGTGAAACCTAGACGAGTACGGTAAGGTACGGTACGGTACGGTAATTCTGTCCGTCGACTCCGTCCGTTGTTTTGAAAATTTTTGAGCACTGGGGCGATGTTTTGATTTGTTTGTTGATAAACACAAGCGCGCCTTCTCATTGGTTGAAAAGTGTCGCGTGACCAGCTGGTCCTGTCCTTAAATTTAGGGATATTCCGGACTGTTAACCCTTTAAGCCCCAATATCCACATACAAATTCTCCAAACTGATCTCTATACATTTCCTTTAAGAATTAGATAAGAGAATTTGACAAAAGATCAAAGTATTTTCTCTTAGGTGATCATTTTACTAATTCTCATAACCTCATCTCATGACAATGTATGGATATCGTTAGGAGAAAATTGCTGTTAGTCACTATTGGAAGGGTTAAAGCACAAGTCACTTAGAACACTAGGATCACACAATCTACATGTAGCTTGCAGAATCTGTGGCTCTTGCACTGATACTAAATTTAAACAAAAATGCTACACAATATTTCTGTTCCGTCTTAAAAGCCTTGGAAAATGAAAAGTATAATAAACCCTTTAGAGGGGAAGGGGATCAGGGAGATCCAAACCACCTTCCTTCAGTACATACCTTGTATTCCTGGATCCCGCCCCTTCCCATGATTCCTCCCTTAAACCCTCTTTCAACCACAAAATACTAAGGACTGTGCTAGCCCACCCCATTTCTCCTGCTTCCCACAAGTTTAGAACTTCCACATCTCACCCTTTCCTCTCATCTCCTACCTCCCACACCCCTCCTGACCTTAGATTCTCCCAAACTGCCAGCCCCCTGTCCTCCCCTACTAACAACAGTTTAGTAAAACCTCATTCCTGTAAGAGGGTACCTTGCTGGTGTTTGCTTAAAAGTGATGTCCATTTAATACAGGTTTGCTTACTTAAAATTCGAGAAGAAACGTTTGACACATACAGCTATTGGTGCACTTATCATACAGGGTGTCTGCTTAATATTTTGCCTGCTTAATACAGGTTTCACTGTATTATAATTATTGCCTTACCTAATCCACTGGCAACCCATGGTGCAAAAATGCAGCTTTTAGCAGTCCCAACTTCATTTGAGGCTACCACACAAATAGTATAGTTACAATATTCACCAGTGTATGAGAAGAAGTCTTTTTTTTCCAAAACGCAAGAAAATTCTTCAATGGCACTTAATATGTTTCTGGGTTGGCATAGAGAGTTACGACTCCATTTGCAGGAATTATTGTCTGCATCTATAGAGTCATTTATACAAAGTTCCACAGAGTAGTTGACAGCTGAACCGTAAGTCTCTTGTGATGCTGTCCAATAAACATAATGCTTCCTTTTATCCAGAGGGCCAACAACACTTCTTCTTAAATTCCGTGGTGAGCTTGGACCTGAGAAGAACAAAACCACACCACTGAAAACTTAACTTTTCAAGTTGCAATTGCATTTTAAAAGTTCACTGATCAGGTTGTCATGGTGATTTAGATTATTATGATGACTGAGGAGTCAGATTCTTCATGGTATTGATGACACTTCCCACATTAGATTTCATTTTTCACCCTCAACTGCACTGTATACATAGAAGATATTACACGGTGGCGCGAAGATATGAATTTTATTTTCGAGTGGCAAAACAATATTTTACGAACGACCGCAGCGAGTGAGTAAAATATTGTTTTTGCAACAAGAAAATAAAATTCATATCTTCGCGCCACTGTGTAATGTTCTTTTTATTATATAGACAAAAAGACATCGATAAAATAATAGAGGGAAATGACCAAAATTACGTCATCGATAAGCTCACGTGTGAGATTATGGAAAATAAACCACTTGGGTCCAAGATGTAGTTTTTATGAATTTTACGAGTGGTATATTTTCCAGTAAAACACTCGTGTCTATATAATAAAGTGGACTCTCTCTCAATGGACACCTCAGTAACACAGAAACCGAGTCAGTCCCTGCCTTTCTTTAATCACTTTACTTGACTCTCTAAAAGACGGACATCACTGTTAGAAGGACACTTAGTGCCAGTCCCAAAGGGTTGAAAACATTTCCCACGTGCACAAAACCTCTGTTTCAAAGTTACCCTAAGGGCGCTTTCCATTTTTCAGAACTGGCCGGCCAGACCATTGCCGGACCAGTCAGTTTGAAAATGAAACAGGCTTTTTCAAAGAGTTTTTGCTAAAAAAAACCATCTCCTTTGTGCATGCTAATTAGTATTTGACTGATCTGGCTGGATAGTTTTGATCAGAAGAGAAATTATTTACTGTGACGGGAATGGTCTGACTGGTCAGTTCTGATAAATGGAAAGTGCCCTAAGTTTTCAGCTTTTTCATTCTCATGCAAATAAAACTCATTTTTTGAAAGTGAAAGACTTTGGAACTCTGGAACAGCCTCTGGAATGGTCTATTTTTGTTCAAAAAGGATGTGTCTGACCAGGTCGCTATTTTAGTTGGACAAACCACAAAAGTTATAAGGCAAACAAAAAATATTAATGATATATTATTTTGTTGGCTACTAATTTCTTTTATTTCTGAACCATGTATTTTTTTAGCTTCAAAATGATAGTCTTCAGTATTTGGTTTGAGTTTCTGGTTATCATGTTTAATCAAATGGAGAATTTAATCCCAAAATGGACACATTTTAGTTGGACATTCCAGTTGATGGCTGTCTACGATCTGCAGCTTTGTACTAACAGCCACAAATATGCACTAGAAAATACTATTGACCAGGAAAAACCTGTTGTCATAGCCATCAGTACAACACATATGTTGCTGAAACCCCTACAATACAGCAACCTCTACACAAGTGCCTTTGAATTTTTTGCGATAATTAAGTACTTCTTAATATTGTGGACCAAGTGAAAAAGTTCAGGTACAAAAGTGACATTCCAAACTTAATTGCCCCTTGTTTTAGCAATGTTCGTCACAATTATAAAGCATGGGACGTTAAGCTTCAAATGTTTCCTAAGATGGTATCTCTTACATATGTTACAATAATTATAATTATTCTGAATAATAATTGACACAATGATGGGGGTTAGATTAGCTAAGCTAAATTATGTTCTAAACATCAAGGCCAGATAAATTCAGTACTTCTCTCAGGGTAACTCAAAGATCCCACAAGCATTGTGCTTTTAATATTTATGTGTTAAAACAGGATCTTCAAGGTTTTAAGTAGCTGGCAAAAGCTTTTGAGTCAGCAGAGAAGGAAAAAACTCTCACCACAGGCGCGACTTGCGAGCGTGGAAAGAGTGAGTTACAGTGTACCAGGGGGGTCTAATGGCTTGCCTCTTAGAAAAGTTTTGAAATCTGGGCCTCTTAGAGTGCATTTCCAGCACTCTGGAGCAAAAATTTGAGTGCTTGAACAGAATGCAGACATCATTAAATTTTGGCTTTTTGGGGGTTAATTTCCACAGAAAAGTAGGTGGTGAGTTCATGTGAAATAGGCGGTGAAATCGGCTCTTATTGAGAACCCTGGTTACTAACAAAGGATAATTATGATGATGATGATGATGATGATAACGATAAAGATGATGAGATTATTCTCCCGGCCATACAGCGTAATGTCCCAAATGCATTGCAACGCTCAGCATGTTCCTAGCATTCAGGTAAAGAAATGTGAACAGGAACCGTGAACAGGAACCTAACAGGAAAAAAATGTGAGGGGTTGGGAGAAGGAAGAGAGAGACAGAGAGTGAAAAAACGCCTGTAAAACTTGTTCTGGTATATTTATGCTGGTATCAGTACTAGATTCTGGAGTGGTATACCCTGATTGGTTTATTTTGACAGCATTTGTCAACGCTCAGATGTCCATCACCTTGATTGGTTAAAATAAATGTGATGTGACACTACAGTGATACGATCACACATCAGTACTGTTTGTCTTCAACACATCACTTTGACGCAGAATCTTGTCAGTGGACAGTTAGTATGGCTTTGCAATTGTCATCAACCTGTATTGCTCTTTCAGTTCTCTTAAGGTTAAAAAGTAAGCTCACAATGAAAGGAAAACACCACAGTGAGCCCAGTATCAAAAAAGATTTTTTAAGCCGTCAGTGTAAAACGCAGACTGCGGACTGCAGACTGCAGACTGTGGACCAGGGGTAAAATGCAGACTGAGTGTAAAATGCAGACTGCAGACTGAGAGTAAAACGCAGGCTGGGTGCAAAATGCAGAATAAAGACTGTAAACTTTTTTAAACATTTGTGCTCCTTCTTCTCCAAATCGGTGAAATAGCTAGCCGGTATCAGTTACACTCTTCGCTTCCTAGTCGAAGTGCATTACACATTCGCCTGAAGTTTCAATGAACATCTGAACAGCTTAAGTCTGTGTACCTTGATTTGCAATACTTTCCTAAAAGGTCATCCAAATTTCCTGCACAACATCTTTATTTGTTTTTGGAATGAATTACTCCCTTTTTTATCGCCATAATTCTTCCTGTACAGTACTTTGGGTCAGCAGCTTTCATTTAAGCATAAACATCGTGGTGTTGTATCAGTTCACGGTCCCTGGTCACGTATATCGAAAACTTCGCATCTAAAGTTGAAGTGTGAAGTCTCTCGGACAGGAAAAAGGTTCAAGATTGCGATTATGTTTTCGGGTCGTCGATGACGTTCCAGAGAAGAAAGGAATGGATTTGTGAAAGCAGATGTCGTCAAGTAAGTGTTCGTTCACATGTATTTGCGGGATTTTTTTGCCCTTAAACTCTTCCACGACTACAGTTTATGCTCGGTCTGCATTGTACCCCAGCCTGCCTTTTACTCTTAGTCTGCAGTCTGCATTTTACACTCAGTCTGCATTTTACCCTGGTCCGCAGTCTGCAGTCTGCAGTCCGCAGTCTGCGTTTTACACTGACCGATTTTTTAAGGTATATGAATATGGTTACTCAACCACAATCGTTCACAAGAGTTGGAGTTTCTACAGCAGTAGAGAAAGCATGGATGAATTGATTGTGAATTCAGAAGAGCAGAAAGTACAAGATTGTTTATTGTCAACAAATTTTTACCTGAATATTTCAACAGCCAGTGTTATGAATGAAAAGGTATGTCAAATAAACCAGTGGCATGATACGCTCTGTTATAAATTTGCCCTGTGATAGTATAACAACTTTTGTTTTATAATCAGAAAAAGGTTAATTGTATAAAAGATACAAAAATCGATTATAGAATCCAAATGAGAAGAACTGTTTTTTTGCTAAAATACATATTTTGAATATTCCAGTAAATAGTGTGGTCTGTCACCTGTTGCTTGATTGACAACTTTTAAGACAAAAAACGAACAAAACCTAAGCTCGGATTATAAGCCGATGGCAGAATGAGTCTTTGAAGACCAATTTCACAGGCATTCCCTCCTCTCTCACTCTCTTCTGTTTAGCTTTTTCTTCTGCTGTTTTAATTGTGCCACTCTCCACTTCCTGAGCGCCTGGAACAGGCTACAAAACCCTACCTATTTTTAAGACCTCCCCTATCTGATAATGTTATCACCACATCTAACAGACTGCTAAATAGTAGGTAGTAATGTAGTAGTAGTAGTAGTAGTAGTAGTAGTGAATTTGATCAATGTGTCAGGCACTAATTGGTGACACAAATAAAAGATAAAAATCAAACATTAAAATAGTGTTAAAATAATTACATTAAAATACCGTCTGTTGCATCTAAGCATGAACACAGGACAAAAAAAACATGTTCTAATAGGGTGCCAGGTATGACATGACTGTTTTGCCACCAAACATTTGAAGTTTGACAGCTGTTAAAGCAAACTGTCGTGCCAAAGGTAAGTTTTTCATATGTTTTTGTTCAGTGCATTTTGCTCATACTTCGTTTTTGTCAGCTATAAGGTTCATGTATATTTCTTGCTCAGAAACAGCACACTTGACTCCAGAAATTATTCTTAACATCTAAAAATTTTTGCAAAGAATGTTTTGCTGCGCAAAAACAAATCAAGTCGACAACAGCTACTCCAACCTTTGAATGTTTGGTGGCAAAACATGTCATGTAGTAATGCAAATAGTAAAAGCTATGAAGTTGAACATCTAAGACCTATTAACACGTAACAAAGTGTCTACGTATATGATAACAAGATAAATTTTGCTTAGTAATAAACATACATGTAGGGTCTCAAAGTTAATTATTTTCTACAGCCATCCTCAATTAAAACAGTCAGGTCTTGCTGTTCTCCTAATTTTTGTCTTAAATCTGTGCAGACTATCCTCGGCACGTAATTCCTTTGTAAGTTTCAACTAGAGGAAAGGGCCATTGTATCTGTGAATGCTTTCCATATTTAACAACAATTCAAAATCTATTAACATATGCACGTATTAATTTTTCGTAAAAATCTGTTTTGCGCGATAAACCTCAATTATGATAAAAGATGAACAAATTATGAAAGGGAAAAACCTTCCTTCATAAACGCATTTCGATGCTGTACGGCAATGAATAACTGTCTTCAGCCTACATTTAACTTCTTAAATAATTCATTCATTTAGTTCAATAGCAGTGCAACACATGTGTCCTGCCCTGAGAAATCTTACAAGTGTATGCGGAAGATAATAAAGACCCTTACCTTTTCTTCCACTACTCGAAGACCCATCAAAAATTGCTCCAAGAAACATACACAATATGAAAACTTTTACAGTGAAGCAATTGTTCATTTTCCTTCTTTTATGCGTGTAGTAATTGGTTCCATTCGACAATTATTAAGTGGTCCATGTTTGTCAAAGTGTATTATTTCCGTTACTCAGGTCTTCCCGTTAAAGGCTCCGAAGAAGAAAATACGGTTGCTAAAATTCCTTGTTTTCTCGTGTGATCCTCAACCATACCACTGAATCTTCTCTCTTCTAGGAAACTATTGCAGTCGAATGTTCTCTTCCGCCGTATTTCCGCGGTAATTTGCCCATTCTCGTTGCTAGGAAAGGCGGTCAAGTATGCATACTTGTCGTGTCCAACCGTTGCGGAGCCAGCTAGGGAGGAGAGCGCAGGCTCAACCACAAAAGAACCTGCACACTCCTCGGGCTCTTTGGTAATCGGACTTGACGAATTTGAAGAGTTCGGTAGGTCTCAGTTCGCCAAGGTCGAGAGAATGCAGTGAGAACGTTAACAGCTCTGTGACCTGAAACGGAAGTCGAAGTGGAGGAGTTGGTGCTATATTGTGGGGGGACTATATTCGAAGAAAGTATAGATGAGCCCCTGATAGTAGAACATAATAACATGTCAGAAGACCCAGTCAGAGGCCTGCAGAAGAGCTGTGGGTCCTCAGAAAACCTCACTGGGCAGAGCTCTTTCACGCTTGTGTATGACGGAAAGTCAGAGTCATCCACTATGTGTAGATCCGACATTACTGGAAAGTACAAGGTCTCCCCTTTTTCGTACAAGCATCTCTTGTTGAAGTCTAAACGAACCAAGGACGCGCCAGTCAGTTCATCGGGCCGACTGTAGACTACGAGTATTCCCCATTTTTCCTCAGGGATAGTAGAAAGAGACGCGGCGTGATTTTACGCGCGCTCGCGTTTCGCTCGCTCTACTATCCCTCAGGAAAAATGGGGAATAATCGTAGTCTAGGCCAACTGCTTTGCATTACACTGGAAAACAAAAACTTTGTAAACGTTTGAGCAGTGTGCAAGCTGTCCGGAATTCGGGTGTTAGTAAAACGCGGGGTCGGAGCCGGGGTCAGGGTCTATCTTCTTTTTAAAGAATGCTGTTTCAGGGTTAGGGTTAGGGTTAGGTGGTTGGGCTAAACCAGCATTCTTTAAAAAGAGGACAGACTGCGAGCCCGGCCCAGCTCCGACCCCGGGTTTTACTAACACCCCGTGAATTCAGGTAAGGAAAGGTCGGTCGGGGTGTAAAAAGAAGATGCTTTCTGTTCATTCTTTCAGGGCAGACCAGATCTCTACACTTTTCTTTTTTTCATTTTCCTATGAAAACGCTATTGTAATCTGCCTGATCTCAGACTAACGCGATATACACCACCTGGTTATATGTTTTCGTTTTCAGTGTACAAGACCCATCCCAAGAAAGAACGAAATAAACAGTGGATCTCTACAGTTTGAACAAAGAAAAAATGCCATATGTATCAATGGAAAAAAGTCGATGGACCGCACGCCTTGTGGTGTAGCAATGTTTTCCAAACAGGCTATTATAATTTTGAAGACAACCTAACACTCATAAAATCTTTATTAGATTTTTGTGTCAGTCACCGCGCAAAGTTGCGTTCTAGTTATTTTTTCTCATTTCCTTTCCAGGCATCTCAAGTATTTGCCAATTCGAGAAACTTTTCCTAGTGGAATCCGGAATTCTGGACTTTGGAACCCGGAATCCAGCTCAAGGAATCTAGCTATAGAATACCGCTACGATTGGAATCCCCCCGGCAGAGTCCAAGTTCCATCGGCAAGGAATTCGGAATCTAATCCAGTACCTGAACCCGAAGACTGCTTCGAAAGGTACTCTTTTTTGTATCCAATAACTGCTGCATTTAGCAGGTCACTGCCAGCTGCAAAAGGTTCTTTTCATGTATAAAGAGACGAAAGTTGTTAGATAAGAGGAAAAGATCAGGAAAAGCACAACAACAGGACGCCATGTGAAGCTATTTGTATGAACTTTTAATTCCAACGATTTTTGTGATTTAGTTGACAATATATTTTTCCACAGGCAATACTA